CAGAACATGTGAGCCATGAGCAAGTTCTCAAGAAAATGGGAACTAGAAGGAAGCTTATACTTAAAATCAGAAAGAGGCTCTTGAAATTTCTGAGACAATGGAGTGTTTCGGAAATTTAACGCTCATAGTACATATTGAAAAAAAAAGCGACATGTTATATATAAACCCAAATTTAATAGCCATGTATTATATCTGTATAGGAATACAATAATTTCAAGATAGATAGATAAATCTCTATCTATAAAAGGCAGGATGTGTGTGTGTGTGTGTGTGTGTGTGTGTGTGTGTGTGTGTGTGTGTGTGTGTGTAACGAATGCACGGCCGCAATTTTCGGCGGATTTGCACCAAAATTTACATGCACATGCTCCAACTTAGCGGGAAGGCCAAGACCGACTTTGCATTTCCCAACTCCCATCGATAGTGGAAATAATCGATGTTTTCATGCTTCTACGGCTGTTTTCATGTAGTTTGCGGCCATTTTCTACTGGCTAGAGTGAGAGCCACCAATAGGCAGGAAGATTCTATTGGCCAGCGTGAGAGCCAACAGCTGACTGACACGAATGTTAACTAGCATGCTAGCATGCAAAAAAAAATCGATAGCTGCCTTCGTCACAAGTGGGAAAAATTTAAATCTGCATGGCACTTTACTCCAATTGGCTCATTCGCTTGCTTAAACTCAACGTTGATTCTGATTCCGCAGAACTGGGTTGGATGTGAAAAGTATTTGTTGTTAAAATTCTTTTTTCATTTGTTTTTTCCAGTTACGAGTCCTTTTTTAAAGCTGATCGTTTTGTGTTCATTTTGTTTAGTTCTTTTTTCGTAACAGATTTAATGTTTAGGATAGAGCTTAGAAAAAATTCGCAGTGTGGGTAGGCAAGAAGTAAGGCATGTAGCAACATCAGCACGGCAAAGGGCACTCCTTTAAAGGCAAGGAAGGGCAAAAATATTTTAAGTCAAGTGATAGCAATTGCTGTATGAGTGGTTCGATTTTTGAATCAAGCACGGGCAACGCCGGGCCATGCTGCTAGTAGATAGATAGATAGAAAAAAATGAGAAAGAAAGAACAAAAACAAACAAAATGAGTCAGAAAGAAACAAAATGAGATAGATAGATAGATAGATAGATAGATATGAACAGACTGAGATAGATAGATAGATAGATAGATAGATAGATAGATAGATAGATAGATTTAGAATATGTATATAGCTTTCTGCTATATTTGGATTTTCTCCGGGCTAAATTTCTTACTGTGCTCCTAATTAAAATTAAAATGTCACAAGTGAAGTGTGTTTAAACCGAAGAAGCATAAGATGCCAGAACTTTGCTGGGTTTTCTCCCCTACCCTCATCGTTTCCCTGGCCTCCGCGGAGCCGTTCAACCGCCCATATGACTGAGCGCAGCACGCCACATTAGTCCCTTAAATGTGTCTTTAATGCTGTGCCCTTGTGTAGGAATAATGTTACACTGATGTCAACAGATTCACCTCCCTCTCGCATTTGCCAACACAACCATTCATCAGATACGCACCATTAGGACGATATCTAACAGTGTATAAAAATGGAGCGCACCTTGTCGACTCTCTTTATCAATGTCGAGTCTTGTTGTTGCTTTCGTTAACTCTTTATCTTCTGCCTTAGCTCGCCCTCCATTCTTTTCTTTTTTCTTTCTTTCTTTCTTTTATTCTTTCTTTCTTTCTTTCTTTCTTTCTTTCTTTCTTTGTTTTTACGCTTCTCTCTTTATTTCTTTATCTCTTCACTTTCTATTTGTTCCGCTTTCTTTCTCTCTCTCTCTCTCTCTCTCTCTCTCTCTCTCTCTCTGTTTCATCTCTTTTTCTTCTCTTTCTTTCTCTCTTTTATCGTCTCTTTTTCTCTCTCTCTTTTCTCTCGATTTTTTGCCTTTGTCTATCTCTTTCTCTCTCTCTATTCTATCTCGTTTCTTCTCTCTCTCCTTTCTTTATCGTCTCTTTTTTCCTTTTTCTCTCTCCCTCTTTTCTCTCTCGTCTCTTTTTCTTCTTCTTTTATTCTCTCTCTCTCTCTTCTTTATTGTCTCTTTTTTCTTTTTCTCTCTCCCTCTTTCTCTCTCGTCTCTTTTTCTTCTTCTTTTCTTCTCTCTCTCCTTTCTTCATCGTCTCTTTTTTTCTTTTTCTCCCTCCCTCTTTTCTCTCTCGTCTCTTTTTCTTCTACTTTTCTTCTCTCTCTCTTTTCTTTCTCAACGCTTGTTTATTTTCTCTCCCTCTTGTCTCTCTCGTCTCTTTTTGCTTCCCTTTCTCTCCCCCCCTCTCTCTCTCTTTCTCTCTCGGCTCTCATTTTCCTTTTCTTCTCCATTTCTCCTTCTCTCTTCATTAATTTTTCTTCATCTTCCTCTCTTTTCTCTAGACCGTTTTTCTTTTCTTTCTCCCTTCCTCTCTTTTCTCTCATTTCTTTTTTTTCCTTCTCTTTATTTCTCTCTCTTTTCTATCTACTCTCTTTTCTTTTTTATCTTTCTTTCTCTCTCTCTCTCTCTCTCTTTCCCTCTATCTCTCTATGCATTTCCTTAAAAGTGTGTGCAAATTAGTTACTTGTATATCAGAACTTGATGTAACTGTCTACGCCGACTAAAAGGTCAAACTTACATCAAGACAATAAAACGAAAACTAAAAGGACACATACTTACAAGAGAAGTAGACAGATGAGGAAAGAAAGATTGGAAAATTTGGTACTCACAAGACCTATTGATGGACAGAGGAAACAGAGAGTAATGGCTATCTAGTATGGCCGAATTTAAGACCCAAGACCGAAGAAAGTGGGCAGTAAGCAATCTGAAAACCTTGACCATAAATAATTGTAAAAATTAGCCCTAAATAAAAGAATTAGTTTCCTCTTACTTCACTTCCTATAATCCCCGGTAACGAGCCCGCTAAAGGGGTAGTGACACTTGGTCTGATGATCGCATATCATGAGATTTACATACATCATACACACTCTCTCTCTCTCCCTCTTTCTCTTTCTATCTTTCTCCCCCTCTCTCCTTCTCTCTCTCTTTCTCAAAGCAAGCTGAATAGAGGAATTAGCCGGTAAAAATTCCCTCCTTACGATCTTCTTTATTATGTGAGTTTGTTTTGCCATCCATCTACACAAGCTCACTCTGTTCTTTTTGCCTTCAATATTGTCCTGTGAGTGTTAAATTCTCCTCGTCCACTTTCCTTATTATGTCCCCCAGAAATTTCAGCTGCCCTTTTCTTATGCTAAGTACAAGTGTCATTTAGTTTCCATGTATGGCAGAACAAGGAATGGGTGTGGTAGACAAAACGCAAATCTTACTAACAACTAAAAGTGACAAGACACGGAACTGAAAAGAAGCGGGGACCCAATGAGAAGTATTTAATGTCAGTTCAGCACCTATCCTTGAGAAACAATATAAAAGACACAACGAGGAACTTTTTAGGAAAATGGAAACAAAAAGACGCGTGAATGAGAAAGGGTCAGCTGAAATTTTTGGGACACATAATGAGGAAAGGAGACGAAGAGAATTTAACACTCTCAGGACATACTGAAGGCAAGGGCGACAAAGGGAAACAGCTAGTATCCTACTTAACGAACTTGTGTAAATGGTTGGCTGTAGTGACACTTGGTCTGATGATCGCATTGACATGAGATTCACAGATATCATACAGTGTTAATTCATATATCCAGTCTCTCTCTCTCTCTCTCTCTCATTCTCTCTCTCTTTCTCTTTTTCTTTCTCTGTGTCTGTCTGTCTGTCTGTCTGTCTGTCTCTCTCTCTCTCTCTCTCTCTCTCTCAAAGCAAGCTGGGTAGAGGAAGCAGCCGTTGAAATCCCTTCCTTTTAGAAAAATGGAAACTAAATGACACTTGTACTTAGGATAAGAAAGAGGCAACTGAAATTTCTGGGAGACATAATAAGGAAAGGGGACGAGGAAAATTTAATACTCACAGGTCAATATTGAGGAAAGAAGGCTTGAATAATGGAACACTCACGAGACATATTGAAGGCAAGATCGACAAAGGGAAACAGCGAGCAATCTCGGTAACGAGACTGTTTAGACGGATGGCAAAACAGGCTAATATCATGAGGAAAGAGGTCTTGGAGAATTTGACACTTACAGGATATATTGAAAGCGAGTGAGACAGAGAGAAACAGCGAGTAATCTACCTAAGAAGCTTGTGTAAATGAATCTAAGACTAAACACACATAATAAGGAAAGAGGGCTTGGAGAATTTGACACTCATAGGGCATATTGAGTGACAAGGGGAAACAGCGAGTAACCTCCCTAATGAGATTGTGTAGATGTATGGCAGAACAGACTCACATAATGAGGAAAGAAGGTTTGGAGAATGTGACATTCACAGGATATATTGAAAAGAAATGGGACAGAGAGAAACGGCGAGTAATCTACCTAACAAGCTTGTGTAGACGGATGACAGAACAGGCTTAAATAATGAGGAAAGAAGGCTTGGAGAATTTGATATTCACAGGATATGTTGAGTACAAGAAGAACAGAGAAAAACAGCGAGTAACCTCCCTCGGGAGCTGGTGTTGATGCATAGCGGAGCCGACTCATATAATTTGGAAAGAAGGCTTGGAGAATGTGATCCTCACAGGACATATTGAAGGCAAGTGTGACAGAGGTAAAACATCGAGTAACCTCCCTAACGAGTTTGTGTAGATGGATGGCAGAACAGACTCACATAATGAGAAAAGAAGGCTGGGAGAATGTGACACTCACAGGATATATTGAAGGCAAGAGCGGCTGAGGGAAGCACTGAGTAACCCACCTTGTGTAGATTGATGGCAGAACAGGAATTAAGAAAGATAGTATGGAAATATAAACCTTACTATGAACTACAAAGGACAGGAAGTCGTGGAGTGCTAGTATCGCTCAATTTTGAAGAAGATAAAGAAGTAGTAGTCCTGAATGCTTGTCTGACATGACACCTCATACCAAGATAAATGTAATATCTCACTAAGATTTGCATATTCTACAATTCCTGTTAGACATACTGCCATATCCCGTTGAAACACGGGTTCCCTTATGATCACCGAAGTTAAGAATCGTTGAGCCTGGTCAGTACTTAGAGGGGTGACCACTTGGGAATACAAAGTGCTGTCAGATCGGATGTGCGGGCGATGAAATGGATAATGGCTCAGAATTTTTAATCGGAGCGCCGGGTTTCAATTCCCGTTGGGTTCGTTATATTCACTTACCCTTGAGAAAGATATGAATCCACCCTTCTCTAAAACGAACCCGACTGGAATTGGAACTGTGATCGCCACTTCCGATCAGTTATTCGATACACCACCCGCACATCCCAGCTTACAACACCTGATATTCACAAGCGGTCACCCATATAGGCACTGACCAGGCTCGACATTGCTTAATTTCGATGATCGCATGAGAACCGGTGTTTCAACATGATATACCCGTAAGCCTCATTGGTCGCCTCGGCGTGGTGTAATGGTTAGCAAGCTTGTCTTGCTAGATCACGTTACTACTGAAAACTGAGCTCGATCCTCACTGGATGCCCCATACTTTCGGCCTTGTGCCGCATCTAAGCTACGCTTGGAAAATCTCTATCTGATTTTCAGGGCGAATTTGGAGATAAATCGTCGCAGTGGCTGCTGAACGTTTTTGACTTTCAGAAGCTATTATCGAAGAATTTTAGCAGCTCTGATAGGGTTGCGTCTATAGATATGAATTAACCATTTTACTTCGGTTGTTTCAAATTCCCACGCCTTCATGCATCAGTTGGTATCATGATTTGTTCGATTTATTATTTATTTATTTATTCGAACATAAAATTATCTGTGGGATTTCTTAATTAAAAATCCCATATCCGAAAATCCTATACATAATTATCTATTCGACACAAAATCATAGTTTCGGAAAATATGTAAAAGAAGACTAAACCATAAAAGCAAATTAATCAATATCAATAAAGTTAGGAGTAGACATATACTGTAATCGTTTATTTCCTGAAGAGACAAGTAATAAAATGTTTTTGTTTGTTTGTTTGTTTTTACTCATAAACGAATTTATACATCGATAAACCCAACAAAACAATGGTCTACAACCCAATAACGTCATATTAAATATAATTAGCACCATCAGCTCAATGGAGGAAAAACTGTTTTGCAAAATTCAATACCTCCAAAATCAAACTAGTAACGGAGATGATCTTATCTCTAATCCCTCCATCAAACATTTGTTTCTTGGGTGTTTGATTTTGTTTAGCGGCATATCAACACCTCTATGGGTTATTTAATGCTGAAATCTAAATATTTTGAACCCAATTTTATGGTTTCAACTACGGTTAGAATGTATTTGTCTATATTTCTGAAATGAGGTATTGTAATTATTTACATCATTTACATTGTTCGGACTGTTGTCCTCATCTTTACCTGGCTACTGCTGTGGTGAACAAAAAATTTGGAGAGTTGAATTAAAGAGAGATAAATGAGACATCTAGAACAGGCATGGCACGTGGAACTAGAACAATCTACCCCGGTGGACGAAATAAAGGGTTCAATTCGAAATTCCGCTCATGGTGGGGTAATAACAGATATACCTTGATAATCTACACTTCTCTGTGTCACGCAGTTACAGACATTTATCTATCTGGGTGGGGTAATAACAGATATACCCTGATAATCTACACTTCTCTGTGTCAAGCAGTTGCAAACATTTATCTATCGAAGTGGGGTAATAACAGATATACCCTGGTAATCTGCACTTCTCTGTGCCAAGCAGATACAGACATTTATCTATCTGGGTGGGGTAATAACAGATATACCCTCATAATCTACACTTCTCTGTGTCAAGCAGATACAGACATTTATCTATCTGGGTGGAGTAATAACAGATGACGGAAAATGTGAAAAAAAATCAAAAAACGTATCGGAATAACGAAAGATGCCTTCCAGAATCTAAACAAAGCGTTAATAAATAGGAAAACTTAGAAAATGAAGTGTTATGTCCTAACTATTCTTCTATATGCTAATGAAGGCTGTACAATTTCCTCACTAGAAGCGACAATTATGTATTTCCATGGAAGAACCATGGACAGAACATATGATTAACGAGGCCATTTTAAAGAAAATGCTCGCTAAAAGGACACTTATTTACGATGAGAAAAAAAAGTTGGAAATTCTGGGAGACTTATTAAGGAAAGCGTCCTCGAAGACTTTAATACACACAAGAAATACAAAACTGACAAACGGATACCAGACGCAGAAAAAAGACGAGTGGTTAATTGCCAAACGTCGTTTAGCGCTAAAATATAGATAGTTAACTGAGCAGAACTGTAATTATTCACATCCCCAAGAGATACGGCGCATATACATCTCCACGTTTTTACAAATGGCCACAGAAAAGCTCACAGCCCAACAAAGACAGAATTCTAAAATACTTGAAAATCTTGTTAGAGATACAAAATTGAGTTAGAGCAAACAGGACGGACATTATTAAAAAGAAGATAAAAAGGCAAAACAACTTCATTCGTTTAATAACGTTGCAATGTTGTCTTTCTTCAAAATAGCCGCGAATTAGGAAGGCCGTTGTTAGAGAGAGAGTATTGAAGGAACAGAAGACAAGGTAGACGAAACAAAGAAGAAAAAGTTTATTAAATACTCATACACAGAACGGAAATACTTGAATAAATCAAATACTACTCAAAATCCTACTCTAATGTGGCTACTTGCCATATTTAAAAGTAAAAGCAGTCCATTGTCACTGTAGAGAGGAGAGAGCAGGACGTGTGCTGAGTCTGACTCTACAACAATCAGGAAAGAAAAAAGAGAAAAAAAAAAGATAATGTGTGAGTTAACCGGTTATCACTCCTCACTGATCAGAACTCGATCGAGAAAAAAAATAAACCTTTGTTTTCACACAGTTGACTAAAAGACACCATTTTTCTAAATAGAAGAAATGATTGCTTAGACTCAATGCGGTTTTCACTTAAAATATATCCTTCCAAGTTTTTTATTAATATAGATTATTTTCTGTTCCATGCTTTCTTTTAGTTCGAAGATATTTTCTTCGGTCGAGTTCTGATGAATTAGGAGCGATAACCGGTTGGCGCACAAAATTTTCTTTCTTTTTTTGTCTTTCTCTCGCATTTCAGGAAAATTGGTTTCTTAAATCCAGTAGGTGTTATAGCTCTTTCCAGTATTGATTAAGGTTTCCTTTCTAACGTTTTGTGGGAAGTAGTGTGGAACGAAACCATCTTGATTATGTCATTATTTTCTCTTCAAGTTACATGTAATGTCCATTGCTGTGGTTAAAAGAACCTCAAGTGATGTCGTTTCTGTGATTTGGTATAGTTATTTGTTTGAGATTCTGTAGCGTCAAACATTGATCTGAGAAAGCGGTTGTATACAGCAGACAGTTTAAATATTCAGGAATGAGTTTAGCACCACGCAAGAGATCCATGTGAATGTATTGATCTGACGAGACTATTCAAGACTCGACATTTTGGGTCGGTGTTTTCTAGCACTGGTGCGAAACTATACCCAACACTATTCTATTCTCTATTCAATTTCATCGCCGGGTTAAATTTGTTAAAAATGTTCCATAAAAAATATATATATATATATATATATATATATATATATATATATATATATATACTTTCCTTTAGGATATTACATCAGAAACATGTTAAAAAACGCTACAAGAATTCAGTCATGTTTCGATGAGTATTAAAACATCTCAACAGGCGTTAGTAAATAACTGGTTAGTAGACAATTTATTGAGATTTAAAAACAAAATACACCCTGTTTTCACGGAAAATGGAAGAAAAGAAAGAGAGTAAGACAGAAAGACACAAGATACATCCTCCTTTCAAGAGCAAAGGAACATTAAGAAAAAGAGTAAGACAAAAAAGAGGAGTTGGTTGCAGGGTTTTTTGTTTCTTTTGGGTGGGGCCACTATTCGTTCTCATTTTACATGGATATATATATATATATATATATATATATATATATATATATATATATATATATATATATATATATATATAATAACGTTTAAAAAGACCAAAATATTACAACCTACTATGGATCCGAGTTACGTGCTCTTCCAATAGACAGGAGTCGTAGGCTGAAGTCTAAACTCAGAGTTGTCGTAGGCTGCAGCACGCGACTCGGAATTGTCATCGGAGTCTTCGTCGGGGGAAGCATGCAACACAGATTCGTGATAGGCTGGAGCATGCAACTCGGAGTCGTGGTCTTTTTAATACGACACTTTATAGTGGTACTCGCCTGGAAAACCCTTATGTGTTTCGGTTTGTAGTTGAACTAACCAATACTCAAGAAAAAATGAGGAATAAAAAAAACACAAAGAACTAAGAACATGAAATTGAGGCGAAAACAATCAGCCAGAATTCAAGCTGAGTCCAAAGAAAGAAACCTACGAAGTCGAGCAAACCGAAAATAAACCTAGGTAGGTTTACCTGGCTTTTTTAGGTTTATATATATATATATATATATATATATATATATATATATATATATATATATATATACCTAGTGAGCCAGACAAACCTACCTAGATTTCACCTAAACGGAATCGTCAGGAAAGTAAGCCTTACTTTCCTGACGATCCGTTTAGGTGAAACCTAAACAGGTTTGTCTGGCTCACTAGGTTTATCTAGGTCTGCTCTACGGTTGTATTGAGTGCTTTTGTTAGTTGATTGTTTACTCGTATCGTGTTTTTTTTCTTTGGGCTTCAGACCTGCATCTGTGCGATTTCATGTTCATGTTTGTAACTCTTTCTTTTTTTAAACCTTTTTTTTTCCCTCGAGATTGATTTGATTATTAGCAAATCTAAAAAAATTCGAGGGTTTTTCGAAACTAGTCTAGTTATCTCTCTCTCTCTCTCTCTCTCTCTCTCTCTCTGTATATATATATATATATATATATATATATATATATATATATATATATATATTATATACAGACAAATGTATACTAAAATATCCGAATTGTATTACATTTTATCGCAGGCTCAGCTTTTCGACGTTTGTAAGTCATCATCAGCGTAGCTGGAGGCAAATTTGTGAGTTTAATAACATTTTAGAAATGGTGCCACAACGTACGTAGACATAAAATATCTGTCGTTTTCAGTAGAATTTGGCCTTTAATATCATTTTGCTACTTAAATATACAGAATATACTTACATACATACATATATATATATATATATATATATATATATATATATATATATATATATATATATATTACATGACGTAGGTAATATGTATAGGTATTTATATACTTTATAGTTCTGTTGCACTGCAATAAGCGTTCTAATGATTACACCAAAAATTAAATAAACATTTATTTGCAAATCTGTATATGAATGCAATCACACGTATATATTATGGAAAATGTGATATATGCTGCTCAATTCTTTAAAAAAAAA